TATATATATATATATATATATATACACACACACACACACACACACACACACACACACACACACACACACATTTATTTATTTATTTATTTTTTCCGGAATTTTCAGAAAAGTCCACTTTCATCTCTGCTTTACGTACACTTTTAATCTGCACTGACCTTGCTTTCAATTCTTTGTCCATTGTAGTCTTTTAGTAGCACTTTCTTGTTGATAATCTTGGGCTTTTCCTTCATGGCACCTATTTCCGCCACGCTGATGAGATTTGCTTGTGCCCCGGTGTCAATCCTCAGTGCCACTTGTGCTCCATTAATTGGTAGGGACACTATCCATGTATCTTCATTTTCTTTGCATGTGTTATTTTCTACATTGTCTGTGTCACGATGCACCATGCCTACAAAAAATGTCTCACTTAGGTCAGGTTCTTCAACTAGTCTCACTGATCTAGATTTTGCTTTTGATAGACACTGCTTGGCAAAGTGATTCTTTCCATTACCTTTTGCACACTTTTTGCCATAAGCAGGGCACTGCCTGGGCTCATGTTTAGAACCACAATGTTTGCATGAAAATGTATTTTCTGAGGTTTTGTCTTGCATCACATTTCTCTTAGTTTTGTTTTTGACAACCGCTATTTTGGCGCCTTCTTGAGGACTTGACGCATTGAAGGTCTTGGCGTGGTGTTGAGCTAGCTCTGTAGCATGACACATCCTTTCTGCCTCCTCCAAAGTGAGCTTAGCCTCTCTAAGTAGCCTTTCTCTCGTCCTCTTCTCGTATATACCATACACGATTTGGTCACGAATCATTGAGTCTTTAAGATCACCAAACTCACATGACTGGGCTTTTAGCTTCAAATCTGTGATAAAGCTATCAAAAGTTTCTTCCTGCTGTTGCACACGTGACCTAAACACGTACCTCTCATATACGGTGTTTGTCAGGTTTATCCAATTTGACACTCAGGAATAAAACACAAGGAGGAGACAGGAGACTCAATTCTGGTACCAGGAGGGAACGAGGAGAAGCGTTCGGTTTCAGTTCTCGGCACGTCACCCCTCACGATCTCCCCCTTCACCCCCTTATTTATTGGGAAATCTACTACATAGGTGTGTCCAACCTAAAGGGTGGGGGCTGTTGAAGACACACTGAACTTGTTTGACTATGTGTGTGTATGTGAGTGTAAATTACGTATATGTGTGCAATTGTTACAAAAACATCACGTTGCAGCTGGTGTTGATGGCTCCATTCACTGTCCAACCTCGCTCCTGTTTAGTCTTTTAACACTTATCTCTTCCCAACCACGTCCTCGGAAAGGTGGTTGCGTCCCTAAACTTCCACACAGTGCACTAAGCATTCTTGATTATAAATGTGAGTATATAAATATAATACAAAGGATTATAAATGTGAGTACATAATGATTAATATATCTTTATTAGAAGCATAAGCGTTCTTCATTGCAGGCATAGTCAATTAATGATTGCAGGCATAAGCGTTCATCTTTGCAAGCATAATAAAATTTATCATTGCAGGCATAAGCTTTTCTTCTTTGCGAGCATAATAAATCAATCAATCAATATCAAAATAACAATAATAACATTAATAATAAGCGAATGTATGATAACTAAAAATAATCAATCTATCAGTGTTCTTCTGCGGTGAGCAATGAGCATCAAACTTTCCAATAACTTTAGTATAGTCCTTGTTGTCGTCAGCTTGATCAAATTCAAAAGTGTTGAAGACTTCAATGGCTTGAGGACCAGCGACAGTGAGTAGAAGCGCGATCTTCCTGGCGTGGGAGCTTGCCTCCAATCCCAAAGCACCTAGGTATACCTCGAACTGCTGCTTAAAAGACCGCCAGTTGGCATCCACATTACCGACAAGTTTGAGTCCTTCCGGTGGCCTTAGCGTCTCCATCTTGAAAAAAAACGCTGCACGACTTGGTATTCACTACAGGTACCATGTGTTGTTCATCTTTATATGATAAGCCATCATTTAGTGAACAAATTAGCCTGAGCTCAACTTTATTGTTGCCAGTACGAATGGTGATCTCCGTGAACTAAATTTACCAGAAGCCTTGTCATATGCTATCAACTCTAAACCTACAGCGCCCTCTGTTGGCTATATGTATCACAATCACATATCAAGACAGTAATGTGTGTTGGTTCACAGCTGCTGCGTACCTGCAGCCTGGTTAACAGTGTGTGCAAAGCATTCTCACATGCGGACTCGTCCCCAGAACTCAGACTTTTGAGGAGCACATGAAAAGCATGTGGAGGGAGGGACGGGGCATTTTGCTATAGACCACTTGGCTCCTTGGATCAATGGGACGCATAAATCCCCCACGATAAAAGGGAAATTTAAAGTTTTTTTTTTACTTTACAGTAATACCATACATTCTTTTCCTGACAGATTTATGATGCTGGGGAGGTGTTTGCAATCATTCTAATTCAAGAAAATTATGACGACAGTGGAAAGACTGGTGAGTGCACGGTCAAGGACAAGCCTGGAACGATGCGCTCCGAAGTGGTTGATTCCTGCCAGAGTGGACTGCAAGCTTCACAGCCAAGATATGGCTGAGAAGTCTTGTTAGTTTACAGACTGTACACATCGCCCCAAATTACTTTGCAGTGAGATCAGCGGTATAATAATTCTTGATTTATTTATTTTTTTCAGTATGGTTAAATTTCATCTTTTTTTTTTAACTTCAGTTCTTTCTCATCAGTTCTCAGAGTGGATTTGTTAGTCACTATTAGTAAATTGTCAATTTAAAATAATGTCTTTTTTTTTTTTGCTGGGATGGAAATTATAACTGTTTTAGCCCTTTCGGGGACAGTGGTTACAACAGTGGACAGTTTATCAGGTTACAGGGTGCATGAAAGGGTTAATCAGTTGATCAGTAAAATCATCAACTGATAAATCAATAGACTGCACAGGCATACAAATTGGATATTTTCCCGCGGCACACCTGACAATGCCCTGCGGCACACTGGTGTGCCACGGCACAGGGGTTGAAAAACACTGCTGTAGATCATGGCATCCAAACGAAGAGGAACAGCAATGGCCGCGGAAGAGAAAGTGAAGTGTATCTAATTAAACAAAGTGGATTACAAAGTACGAAACATTCAAGAGACGCTTGGAGTCTGAAAGACTCAAATCTACGAGACTTTGAAAAACGAGGAAGTGATTCTTGCTCAGTCCGATTCTGGGTGTTTCCTTGCTCAGAGTGAATTGCATGCGGCTCTACGGACAGTCGAGTAAATAAACGTTTCCTGGAATGGTTTGACTGTAATCGTGCTAAAAACTTTCCGCAAACTGGACCGCGAATAGGAGAGCAATCGAGTTCCATTGCGCTATGCGCATCGAAGGCTTCGAAGCGTCCCATGGCTGGCTTCAAAAGTTCGATGCACGACATCAGCTGAGCAATGCTGTCATGTGTGGTGATCGGGGGGAGATAAAGTTCGAGGCAATGAGTGAATGAAAAGAAAAGCCTACTGCCCGAAGACAGCTGGGATAGGCTCCAGCACACCTCGCAACCCGAGTGAGGATGAAGTGGTTCGGAAAATGAATGAATGAATACATATCACAATTAAAATCTTTGAAAAAGAACTGAGGGTACAATAAGAGAAACAAATATTGGCAAACATGGTCAAATTTGCAGATGATTTTTTTGGTGTTTTATTTATTTATTTTTATTATTATTTTTACCAATATGACAGCGTCTAGTATGTCTGTTTTTTGTTTGTTTGTTTTTAATCATGTAGTACAATACTTAAAATTTGTCGGGGGGGTGATTTTAGGGGCAAAATAATTTTTGTCCACGCCCATCTTTTTTTTTTTGTTTGTCGAGAACTTTCGAGTTTTTAATGAGCTTTTGATGAAAACACGTTTTGTGTCTGCAGTATTTTCCTGGTGGACCACGCTTGGACGTATCGTGTTGATCACGCTCGTCAGCAGCTGCAGCAGATTCCTGGTTTGCTGTCCAGAATGGCGTCCCTCAGGGGGCTGGATTTCAGTGAGAAGAAGAACGATGCTGATGTAGTTGACTTGGTGATGGAGCACATGTGGCTCTACAACCAGCCATATCAACTTTCGCAAGGGGTACATCAAAAATGACACGCATTATAGGTCCCCAACCTTTTTTGCCCCACGGACCGTAAATCCGTATTTTAAGTACCCTTCACTCATTGGCGACTGGTACCTGCTAGGGGCGTGCCTTTAGCGTCCTCTTACACGCCCACCCTTCACTCATTGGCGACTGGTACCTGCTCGGGACGTGCCTTTAGCGTCCTCTTACACGCCCACCCTTCACTCATTGGCCGACTTTCGCATGCCTGTCGTCACTCACGTCCATCTTTTCTCTATATAAACAGCGTGTCGGCCAGAGGGGCTCTTAGTCAGGCTTTGGAACTCGGCGCATACATAAAACGCAGCGCATGATAAGGCGTCCTGTCCATTTTGGAGAAAATTTAAGACTTTTAATGGCGCCCTATAGTTGTGAAAATACGGTAGAACTCCTAATACTGTCGTATTAAATGTAGCCTTATTTTTCTGGGAAGTCGTAGGCTCCTCTTCTGTCTCCTGGCTGGGCCTTTTCCTCTTTCCAAAGAAACTTTCCAAAGTCGTTTGCTTTTTTACTAATTTTGCTAGCTCCTGGGTTTCATTTTAGTGGTAACCTATCACGTGACCGAGAAACGCCGCCTTAACCTGCGTCAAGAGTGACATACTGTAGACCAGGGGTGTCAAATTCATTTTTGGTGCAGGCCACATTTTAGTTACTGTTTCACTTGGAGGAGATGACTGAAACCATACAAAGAAGTCAAGAATAACTGTTGATTCAAGTATTGCTTAAATGATAGTCACATGAGGGGTTTGGTAACAAGAAAATGCTTACAGTATATCTCTTATTTATTACATATGAGAATTTAAAATTTTGGAGGACATTTTAGAAAGGATCATGGAAGTTGACATGTTTGAGCTGCCTTCGCCATTCAAATAAAATGATGTGGTGGGCCAGATCTGGCCCCCGGGCCGTGAGTTGGACACCTGTGCTGTAGACGGATGTCACAGAGAATCAAGTAATTTTTCAAAAGAAAACAATTCAGATTCCGAAACAAATAAAAGAGAACTAATGTAAGTTCGTTCTGCGCGGCTCGGTACCAAATGACCTACGGACCGGTACCGGTCTGCGGGCCGGGGGTTGAGGACCACTGGTGTAACTGACGTTACATGTGATGATTCTTTTCCATGTGTCCAATTTTAAATTCAGTACCTGCAATTTGCACTATTTTTTTTTCACCTTAACTCTTGAAAAAAAAATAGAAAAAAAAATAAGAGCCTAGGATTGAATGGGTGGAGTCTGAAAAGACGCGGAAATAGGTCGTAGGGAGTTAATGACTTTGAATTGTAGTAGTGCAACGAAATCATTCTTTCTTTTAGAAATAAAAGTTACTACTTGCATCTAGATGAAAACCTCTAACTCTGAAGACGAACCATGATTTTGTTTGACTTGTACAGAAAGAGTGATCAGTCACTTCTTCCAAAACTGTCACTCATGCCAATATGCGAAGGAATGCTGTCGATACGGCGCTGAGAATGTTCACTGTACTCTACGGGTTGAATGACACGCGCTTCTTTCTAATCCTAATATGCTGCGACGTTCAGTGTGCGGAGGAGAAGATTCCAGTGTGGTACATCATGGATGAGTTTGGTTCCCAAGTGCGTCACTCGGACCAACCCAGCTGTGGCATGGCTCCCCTTTTCTTTGCCGAGGCCCAAGCGGCCTTCACTGTACTCTGGCCTCTCAGAGATCTGCAAAAGGAAGGTGATGGCAAACGCCTATCCAAGATGCCTCACAGATTAGGGATGAAAAATATGGAACATTACAGAATATCGCAACTGCTGGTGACAAATGATTTGTGGTTAGATCACATCCATTTGGGCAAAAAAAAAAAAGACTGACCCATAAATAGCAAAATTCCACGTTTACACAGATTACCATTGAAATGCATTAGGAAGAAAAATATTTTATGCATTCTAGATTTATTTAATTTTTTTTTTTTTTTTTAGCTAATCGACTGAATTGGTAATCTGCATTTTTTTTCAACAAACAAACAAGGCTAATCGAAGATCCTCCCCGATAGGCAAAGCTTGTCTTTCCAGAGCTTGTGACTGTGACCAAAATGGTTGCACATTCCACACGTTTTTTTTTTAGTGTGTGCAAGAATGAATTTCACTTGGTCGCATTCGTGTGAGTGGCTGACAATACGGTCAGGCACGGTGCTCGGCATAGGCTTATCACGCACTGCGCATAGGGCACCAACAACCTGGGGGGCATGGGGGCGCACCAAAAAAAAAAAAAAAATCAAGCTCGTAAAAAAATCATATTACCGCAATATATAATAATAACAAAAAATAATATTTATTATTTATTATTTTTGTGAAAGTTTTTCAAACATTAATATTGACCAGTCATTTTGTCAAATCAAGCAAAACTGACAAATACTCAGATATTGTCCATTTTTGTTAGGGGTGGTGCGGGTGGTGTGTGTTTTGTGTGCACAATGGCTTGCGCCGACCCTGAACACGGTCATTGTATTTGACGTTGTGGTTGAAAGTCATCCTCTTCTTCAGCCTTCAATTTGACCCTTTAATTCTCCATTTTGTCACACCGTCCAAAAGCCAAAAGTCAAATTCACCCAGAATATTCATGCACTTGTATATTCTCGAAACAAATTTCTGAACGATTTTAATTTTACAGATGAAATAACCCGTGACTTTGTATACGGCGAGGTAGACCCACTGCTTCAACAGTGCCGTTTGTTACAGTGGATATCGGCTGACCTTTAAAGGGGTGTGTCCAAAAATTACAGAGCCAGCAGATTCGTATTATGAGGTGATGACCATGACTGTATTCATAAATAAGTTTTTTTTGGATTGTAGAAAAATCTTCTTTTCTCCAAGTCCCATTCTGTTGAA